GCTCTGCACTGGAGCAGCAGTCAGGGAGGTGTCTGCTGGCACAGGGGCTGCAGCCTTTGCCCCGAGCCCGGTCAGGGGGTTGTGCTGGTGCAGCTGTCAGTGGTTTGGCAGCAGGTAGTTCACTTGCTATTTCACTACTCAAATTTAATCTCCTTTCTTGTCCATGACTGAACACTAATGAAAAAGAAAGCCCAATAAATGAGCAAAACAGGAAGATATTTCTTTCCGAGGGCTTGATCAGGGGTTTGGTCTCTTGTGCTCTCTCTGACCCACATTCTGCAGGACTGCAGGAAACCAGCTTGAGCACAGACAGACCCAGACAGAGCCCTCCCCCAGACCCCTGCTCCCCAGGCACTCAGCTAAGAAACACGTAAGAAATTTCAGATCTTGCTCCAGATGAGGCTCTCGACATAACCAGGCCAGCACATCTGTTTGATCGACTTCCTGGCATTAACCTGGTTCCTTAAATGTGCTCTAAGGCTCGGAGCTGTTGTGCACTGATGTGTATTGTTCACACCCATTGATCAGTGCAGCTGAATCTGAAAAGAGATGGTGATCTTGAAACCATTAAGTTCTTACAAATTGTGAGGGAGTCAGTCAGACAGATAGATTCCCCTAGGACCACCCTGGGGGCACTGAGCTGAGGGAGCTCAGACTTCATTAGGGATATAAAATCACCCAGCATGTCCCTAAGCTCAAACCAGAACTGAATCCATCAACCACCCCTGTCTGCACTGCCACTGCTTTCTTGACACAAACAGTCCAAAGATCTTGGTGTCAATTCCCTGCAGGACACACCACAGGCTTATCATCCCTCTCTGCCACAGGCTGCTCCCCACCGTGGCAGGGACAGGGGTGCTGACACCCCAGCTGAGGTGCCAGGAGCTGGGTTTGGTGTCCTGCAGAGCCCCCAGGACCATCCCCACGCCCGTGACGGTGCAGGCAGACGTGGCACTTCAGGTTTCACAACTAGGATTTGCTGCAGACACTGCCCCAGAGTCTGAAACATAGCCCTGTTGTTGGGGGAAATGAAAACAGCTACATCAAGCATAGGAAAATAAGTGGTGAGGGCTGAAGTGGTTTTGTAGTGTGGGATGTGCTGGCAGAGGAACAGGAAGCTGCCCCATCCAAACCCAAATACTAGTTAGTGGGGATTAAAATCAACATGCTGGTAACAAGGTAACAAAATGTATGATGATTAAATGGTCTCTATATAGATGTAAAACTGGTGGCTATTACATATCAAATCAGCTAAAACCAAGACAGGGACATGAAGGGTGGGAACCAGCACCGTGCTCCTCTGACGCCTTGGGCAGCGCTCGTGCCGTGAGCTGGAGGGTCCTGGGGGTCAAAACCTCCTGCAGGCCAAGGAGAGGTGCTGGCACAGCTCCTGTGTCTCGTGTTGGTGGTTTGGACAAGGGCAAGAGAGAGGAAGGGTGGTTGTTGGCCTCTTGAGAAAAATGTTTCTGCATGAATTGGAGAGCTGATTTTGAATTAATTTTGAATAGTTGTTTCAGTAATTCAGATTGATTTAAGATGCACCCAAGAATAATGCTTTCATTATAAAACCTCCTGAGCAAAATCTAAATCGTGCTAAATTAAAAACAGCCTCTGCTAAACCAGGGCTGATGAGCAGAGCAGAGGGATGGGAGGTGCAGGGTCGGTATAATTTAATTCCTTTGCTTTGTTTCCCATTGCTGAGAAGCTGCTGTGCCTCTCTCCTCGGGCTGCCACCTGCCCACAGGGCTCGCGAGCCCCGCTCCTCCCAAACCCAACTTGCACAGTGACCTCACAACCAGCACTTACTCTATTTCATGCAGTGCTTCACCTTCAAGAGGAAATGCATTTTTATTGCTTTTCATTTATGGGTCAATCCGGAAATTTAATTGTATCCTAAAGATATTTAGGAATCTGGAATAACAGCAGCTGCTGTACGGCACAGTACGAGGGCTGATGGTTTCCCAATGCCTTGATGTTTGTGGTAAACAAACTCTCCCTTTTGTATAAATTGAGCTAATTTTTTAATGTCTTAATAACATGGGAAAAGTGATCCTGCATCCTCCAAATCACTTTTATAGAACACTTTGCCACAAGCAGCGGTGGGTTCCAGTGTCAGGGAAATGTTCACTTATCTGGATTTAAATGTTTCAGTGTTCAAAAAAACCCTACATATACATGTGTATAGATTTGAGTTAAAAAACATGGTGTTTTATAATTTCTTGTTTTAAAAACTGGCTGAATTTTTAAAGGCAAACAACTGAAAATATTTAAGATACTGCTAAAAGCTCTGAGCGTTGCTGGAAGGGAAGCAGAGAACTGGCAGCACCAGCTGGGTGAGGCTGGAGGTGTCAGGGAGAGACACGACAGAGACTTTGGCTGCATTTTTGGCAACATCTGTGTGACAGGAGTGGTCAGTACCCCCATTAGTGGCAAGATCCTTCCAAATGTGTTGCGAAGACTACTGAAGAGAGATGTGTATGAAATACTGCATGAAATTGCCACTTGTCACAACTGAAAGGCTTTATGGTGAAGTGAGGAGGGCAGGGGACGTGAACCGCCCACCTCCCTGTGTGTGGGGAGTCAAGAAGGGGAACGTGACCTGGAGCCAAACGTTTTGTTTCTGGAGTTCCTGTATCTCTGTGCCATGATGCCCAGCTGTGGGTGGGAGCTGGTGCAGGAGCCCAGGGCTGGGGCCTTGTCCCACCAGTGCTGTCCCCACAGCTGGGACCCTCTGCTGTCTGGACCCGCTCCACAAAGGGCCTCTCTGAGGGGCCAGGCCAGGGCTCTGCAGAGCTGCTCTGGCAGGAATTAGGTTTCTGTGGCTCTCAGTAGCAACTTCTCTTCCTAGCACAGGTGTTGGGTGAGCCCACGGGGAGTGTTTTGCCTCAGGTGCTTGGATGAGGGAGGCTGGGAACCTGCTGGATGTGGCTGTGGGCAGACAGGTCTTGTCAGAGCACAGGGGCTCCTGGGTCTGCCATTACTGAGGCTTCTTTGCTTCTTGTAACTCTGTGATATGACACTAAACTTATCTGGTGGACTATTTGCTGGAGAACCTATTTTATTTAAAACCCTGCAACAACAATCCCCAGTCACTAACACCAGAAGCTTAAGCTCACAAGCTCTGGCAGCATTTCCACGTCCTTTCCCAATGAACTCATACAAAGCTGTTTAAATGTCCAGTTGTTTGAAATCCTTGTCAACTCATTAAGGGCACTTATTCATCTTAGAGTTCTGTGATTACACCAGACTGAGAACACTTTAAAGTCCTCAGGAGCATTCTGGTTTGTGATCCATGTGTTCAGAAAGGAAGGGAAAGAGCCCAAGAGCAAGTCAGGGCTCTGTTGTGAGGGAACAGACTCCCTGGCACTGCAGCCCGTGGCACGTGTCTCACACGGAGGGTTTGTTCCCAAGCAACACAGAGTGATGCCTTGACCCCAGCTTCCCTGTCACACAGCTCTAACAACGAAGGTGTGAATGTGCATGAGCGTGTGTGACGAGAAGATAGTGGCCATAGTTATGAAGCAGAAATCAGCCAATGCAAATGCGCTTCCAGGCATTTCTCCCTTGTGGAGAGGATGCAGGAACAAGGCACCCAGGACAGCTGGAAAGACTCTCTGAACCTGCTCAGGTGCAATGGTGGGGATAGGATAATGGGAACTGACCAGTATGGACCAGTCAGAATATGGAATCTGAACCACAGGAGTGCTGGGATCCAAAGCTCAGCTTCGATTTCTAAACACAGAAGTGATTTCCAGGGTACAGAGCTCAGCTGTTGCCACACAAACTTCCAAACTTTTCTTAGATGTTAAAAAGGAGGAAAGAGAGATCTTGTGGTGACTATGACAAACATGTTCTGTGTTTCCACCTTATGATGAAATTCAGACTTGCAGTTGTCACACGCTCAGATCCTGTGCCTTTCTGACAGCTGAATTATGATTTGAATAATTTAAAAGTGCTACTGAGAGCCTGTTCATGTATAATAGGCACAGACAAGTGTTTAAAATCAAAAGCAGTTCAGAGGAAAAGTGGTCACCATATTACAGGAATGAGTATTGTCTGCATCTGAATATTAAACTGTGAACTCTCCAGTGGGAACAGTCTTTGCAAAGTGACTATAAACTCAGTGTGTTGTTTTGCTGTGTGGCGTTAGGAGATCACGTTGAGCAGTAACTTTGTGCCTGCCTGGAGCAGCAGCCTGTGATGCCTCCTGCCTTTTACATAACCTGTCAGGGTGAGGCCTTGGCCAATCTGCTGGCAAAGCTTTCCGTTCAGACCAGCAGAAACTCCCATCTATAACCACAGTAGAAACATTTGTAAGAGAAAAAAGAAATGTAAGGGGGAAAAGTGCCCTCCAGGCTACATTTCCATTGCTTTGCTCTCATTTTCTTTGTACCTGTCCATGGGAATGTTTGAAATTCTACAGCATGCTCAGACTGTTTCTTAAACTCATAATTAAACACAGTTAAGTAAAAAAACCAACAAAAGATCATGTCCTGGAGATCACCAAGTATTTTCAGGAGTACAACAGCCCACAACATCCACTTGAATTCAGCAAATCTGGAATTCCTGGCATGGCAAGTGAAGGAACAATGACCGACCTCGCGAGAAGAGACACCAACTACAACAGCAACCTCGTGTGAAATCAACGGCTCAAATGAGTGTCTGAAAAGAGAAGCTGCAGTCACCAGCTCCCCTGCACTCCTGTTCACTTATCTCTCCTGCAAGAGGAGTTCGAAACAGGACCTTCTACTCCACAGCCTTGCTCCTCCTGTACTCATCCACCATGGTGCCAAGCATTTGTCAAGTGGGTGTAAGTACTTTTTCTGTTCTATACAACTACACATGAGCATAAATTGCAGAGTTGTAAGGCAAAGAAAAATCAAGCCTTTAAACAGTTCCAACCCCTTTTCAAACATGCACCCAGGAAAATGCTTAGGGGTGACTAAAGTCAAACTCCCAGCACACACCTGCTGCTCGGTAAAAGAAAAAGTACTACTCACCCCAGTGTTGTCATGGTTACAATAGTGTACCAAAAGGAAGCAGGAATACTGGTGAATTTGCTTGCCGAGGACCCTTTCTCTGCATAAAACATCACAGTTGCAAAGATGATGATTGCCATAGTGAGGGAAAAGAGGAGAAAGCCAAGCTCGGAGGCACAGCTCTTCAAAGTGTAGCCCAAGATTCTTAAGCCTTGGGAATGGCGAGAGAACTTGAAAATCCTGAAAACCCTGAAAACCCTCAGGGTCACAAAGGCTCCGCTGACGTCCTCGTTGTTGGTCATCACCAAGCCAATGTAGTAGGGCATGATGGCCACCACGTCGATGATGCTCATCACACTTCTGATGAACCTGTAGCGACTTGGGGCCGCAAAGAGTCTCAACAGATACTCAACTGTGAAAATCATCACACAAGCCGTGTCCAGGCAAAAGAAAGCCACCGCGTATCTCTCCCCACACGAGAGCTCCCTGCTCCCGGGCACCGCGCCGCACGGGACAGTTTCCACAACGTTAGTGATCACAGAGACAGCAATAAAGAAACCGGTGACGTAGTAAAAGACTAAGGCTAAGGTGCTGGTGTGGGGGTTCTCAAAGGCTCGCCACATGGTCTGCCGGAAGCTGAGGGATGGCATGGAGCCTTCCTGGTTGTTCTCCGAGTCGTTGTCGTCCATCAGCCGCTCCGCGTTCTCCCGCTTCCGGTCCTTGTACTCTTCGTAGCAGCAGTCCCCGATGATCTCCGGGAGGATGCCATAGAAGGCAAGCTCTTCGTCATAAGCAGAGATGCACTCGTACCTGGGGTAGTGCAGCTTGCCAGTCCTATAAAAATTTAAGATGCACCTGAAGACCTCAGGGTCCCGGTCGAAGAAGTACTCCTTGGTGTCCTCGTTGAAGAAGAATTCCTTCTCGGTGCTGCCCAGGAGCGTGTCTGGGTACCTCTCCAGGGTAGTCCTCCAGGTCTGGAAACGCCTGCCACTCACATTGAGAATGATCAGCTCATCCTGCCTCTTGTTCTTCTCCGTTGGAGCCAGTGGCATGGGACAGTTGGCCACTGGCATCCATCCTATGGCAGCTGCCCTGGCAAAGGGCAACCATGCTGCTACTCCTGCTGCCATGATGACCCCAGGCCTTGTTACTGGAGAAGACAGTTAAGCTGCTCTTGAGATCCTCTGCAAGTCAGATCAGTTCCATCTAAAACACAGAACAAAATAAACACAGCACAGAGTCAAGCGGGGTGTCTCGCCCCGTTGTGTTGAGGAGTCAGATACCAGAACAGACACAAGGAGTTAAACCAACTGGCTCTCTCTCGTCTCCCATGTGAAGAATGATGTTAAACAGGCACGGGATAATCAGCTCAGCAGGGTTATGGCATTATTATAGATTGAAATTTTGAATAGCAAATGATTCCTCATTAAAATAATTTTTAAAGTAGCATAAACACACTAATTTTTATTTGCTTCCTTGCAAACAAGACGAATCCATAAATCCCCAGGTGTAAGGCACGTCAGCTTAGCTACAGCTGTCAAGAGGGAGCTGGGAACTCCAGTGAAACCACCGTGCAGTTCAGCCAGGGAATGGAATCCCATGAAAAGCCATGACTGGACTGAGCCGGGTTCCCAGTCTTACAGACATTCAGTGTGTAATGAATCCTGCACCAAGGACATTTGCAGTAGAAAGAAACAGAAAATCTTCTCTGGTTTTCATTAGTTTTCTTCCACCTTTAATAAAAGTCTTAGCCTCAGTAGAAGTTTTTTGCTGGTCTCTTTCCTTAAAAAATGAGTTTTACTCTGGTGAAATATTGCCTCCTTCCACTGGGCCAGAGGAAAATATTGACTCTTGGGGAAACACTGCTCAGAATACCTGAGCAACCAGTAGCTTGAATCCCAGGCACGAGGGCCGATGGATTAAGCTGTCAGCTGAGTACCAGGAACACCAGAATGAGGGAAACCTCCAGGGACAGACAGCTCACATCCTGCAGGAAGGTGCCTTGGTTATTTCCTGGCTAACAGACATAGCCAAAGAACTAAATGATTATAGACTGAAATATGTTCACTGCACTCTTGATTTTTAGATGAAAAATGTCCTAAGTTGTCCAGATGCTGAGCCACTGGAAGCCAGTGTTCTCTTGGAGTTGGAGTAGTTACTGTGGTTTGGACCTAGTCAGGAACTGTCTTTTTCTTCTTGGTCTTTGGTCAGAGTTCTTACAATATTTCTGGTTTAACTTGTATTTGCTTTCTCTTCCATAATGTTTTTCTACCTTGACCATAAAACTATCTGGAGAAAGGTGCCATTATCCTATAAGATGCATTAGGGGCCCTATCAAAAGTCAATTTATCAATGGAAATTCCATTGGTTCCACTGACTCAGGACCTCAAAGCCTAACCATATCATCTACACAGCATCTTTCTAGGCAGTTTTACTCTGAAGTTTTTTAATTATAAGCAAACTGCCATTCCAGCCAGTAAGGCTGCATCATTATCGATTTCAACAGGCCATCAAAATACTGAATAAAAAATGATGGAATCAATCTGTGGTGAAAACTATTAAACTACTCACAGAAATGCTCTTCCTCTTCAGGGCACATTAACATTCATCACCTTAATGTGGAGTATCTATCTGTGCAATTTTACTATCTAGAGGATGACTGAGATCCCTTGTGCAAGCATCTAACTGCTGCTGGCAGAGGTTGTGTAATTACGAGACACACAACAGTCCATGGTGATGCTTATCCCAGGGAGACGCTTCCGTTCCGTACACGGCGCTGGAGGAAACATCCCACAATACTTCCCTATAAAGGGTTCTTCAATATTCCTATGCTCTGTTTTTCCTCTCCCTCTAAAGAGGGGATTTATGGCGTTAATAGGCTGGGCTGGCAGCCCTGGGGAGCAGGCTCTGAGCTGTGTGTGGGGAGCAGGCTCTGAGCTGTGGGGAACAGGCTCTGAGCTGTGGGGAGCAGGCTCTGAGCTGTGGGGAACAGGCTCTGAGCTGTGGGGAGCAGGCTCTGAGCTGTGGGGAACAGGCTCTGAGCTGTGGGGAGCAGGCTCTGAGCTGTGGGGAACAGGCTCTGAGCTGTGGGGAGCAGGCTCTGAGCTGTGGGGAACAGGCTCTGAGCTGTGGGGAGCAGGCTCTGAGCTGTGGGGAACAGGCTCTGAGCTGTGGGGAGCAGGCTCTGAGCTGTGTGTGGGGAGCAGGCTCTGAGCTGTGTGTGGGGAGAGGCTCTGAGCTGTGTGGGGGGAGAGGCTCTGAGCTGTGGGGAGCAGGCTCTGAGCTGTGTGTGGGGAGCAGGCAGAGCAGAGCGAGGAAATCTTGCCCTGTGGGAGCAGCCCAGGTGGCAGCAGAGCTGCCCCTGTCCTTCTGCAGCAGTGGTGGATCTTTCCACTTTTATGAAAAGCTCTAGGGCTGCAAAACAGGAGGCAGCAAAATGACAACCCTTTCTTTCATCCATTAACCACCAAATACAGCCAAGTAGCCAAGAGACGGAGCTCGCACATCCCTGCCCTCCCTGCCCAACTGTCCCCTCTGTGCCTGCAACCAGCCCCACCACCATGGCCACTCTGCCGGGACTGGTGGTGGTGTTTGGTGACCTGACCAGCTACTGTACCTCGGATCCTCATCTCCCCTGATTTCTCAGGGGAACCTTGTTAGAAATCTCTTCTGTACTTTTATAACTTTGGTGGTAAATTCCAGGTTACCTACATTAGCTGCTGAGGCACTATAAATACTTCATGTATAATTGTTCTAATAAAGCACTGGTAACTCATAAGTGACTTACACATTTTCAGATCAACTTTTAAAGATAAAATGGGTCCTTCCATGCTGGCAGTATATGTGGGGAAGCTATAAATATCTCAACTATGACAGGAGAGTGAAGCAGAAGTGAGGGGTATTATTCTGTGGAAGTTTAGTTCTCGTTTCTCTGTGGCAGAGATGCAGCTGGTTGAGAAAATCTAGTGCACACAGCTGAATTTTCAAAGTTACATTAAATCTGTCCCATTTGATCCTCAAAATATGCAAAAAGAGAGTATTTTTCAGCTATGAATTGTATGTCTGTGAGGAAGGACTGAAAGGGAGAAGAGGTTTTCTTTGTCTTGTCCATGAGTCCTTGGAAATTCACCCCACCCCAAAAAGAAACAGAAAACTAAGAGGGGTAGGACTGGGTTTGTACTTCAAAGCTGCACAAATTCAGCTGAGCACAAAAAAAATACAAACTGACTAGTTTAGTTACAAAATATGGGGAGAATCTTCCTTATCTACACACCTGGGTTTTGGTAGCCAGTAGGTTTCCAGTCTTTTTAGGTTGGAAAGCCATTGCCTGGGCTCAAAATATACTGTACAGTTGACAGAGTTTATCCAGCTTGCACAGCAAACAGACATTTTAATTCTAACAAGCATATATTTAGCTATAGACATATATATAATTTTAATTACAGTAATTTCTGCATGTAATTTGAAAGAAAGTAGTTTTAAAAGGATCGGTACCCTGCTGATGACACCAACTAAAACAATTTGGCTCCTTCTGACTTAGAAAAGTCAGCATCTGCAGAGAAAAGGATCTGTTTTCTTTAGAGAATTACGAGGTCAGTGAAATGGCACAAGGAAATTGGGTCAGGAAGGCTGTGGCCTGAGCCCCTGCCCCTCCCAGGGCTCCAGACCCCAGCCAGTCCCCCCGGCCACCTCTGGCTCCACAGAGTGTCTGCCCTGTGACCACCCGTGGGCACGGGGACTTCCAGCCCAGGCTCAAGCAAAAACCTGCCAGGCAAGGCTGGGTCAGCAGAGCTCTGGGGGAAAAGTTCAGAGAAGGCAGGGATTCCTGTTCACCTCAAGGGTCAAGAAACAAACCAGGGGTTCTCAGCACATCAGCTCCCAGCAGCAGTGCCTCACTTAATCAGTGTCTCTTCATAGTCTCATGAAAGCAGAAACAAAACATACAGAGTTTCCCTTTCTAGAAGCAGACAGGGACGACTTAAAATATGGCTGATAAACACACTGTGAGTTGTTGATGAGCCACTGCTGGTGGGAGCAAAGAGCCTTGAGATCCTTCGGTCTCTCCTGTCCTTGCTGGCTCAGGCTCAGACAGCAAAGATGTATTTGCTGTAAAGCAGAACATGTCAGCCAGAGCTTCAGGTCCTCCATCAGGCACATATTCCTTCTCCTCCACAATCACATCGGATAATAAAACTTCCTGCAAAGCCTCAGCCCGACGGAGGGATTTAGGAGCAAAAGCAACAGGCTCAGGATAAATCGTGCAAACTTCTGCCCTCCCTCCCAGTCAGCCCAGAGAGCCCCATCTTGGAGGCGATGCCTTACCTGGCAGGAAAGACACTCTCAGTGCCCCAAGGTGTAGGGCTGAGGCTGGGGAGCTGGAAGCAAGGGGGAGCAGTGACTCCTCAGGATGAGAGGTGAGCTGTGCTGCCTGCCTCTTGACTCCCTCTCTACATGCAGTCAGAAGCAATCAGTAAATGTGATCATCATTGTGCAAGTATATATAGAGAGATGACTAAACAGCTTCTCCCTCATCGCTGCC